CGAGCTGGAGCCTCTGCCTCCCATAGGCTGTTTTCCCTGGCTGTCTCCCTCCCTTTCTCTCGGGTCCCTTCATCTCTTTGAAGCACTCCTTTTTCTCCGGGTAGAGAATAGACCGAGAATCTACAACCTGCCTGAGTGAAAGGCGCTTTCCGCACAAATAACTTTCCCTTCAACCGTGCAAACCCGGATTAGGAAAAACCACGAAAACAGCCACAATCGCCTGTTGCTCCCTCCACCCCTACCATTCAATGGTCTCAGGGAAACAAGCCGCACCAACCAGCTTACATAGCAACAGAATAATTACAAAAATTAAAAATAAATAATCCCGCAAGGACCACTCAGCACACACCTGGGTTCTCTCTAAGACCCACGTAGTCGCAATCACTTGGGTGATGTTTGTAACCTTTTTGTTTGTTTGTTTGATTTTGTTTTTCAATACAGGGTTTCTCTGTATTGCTTTGGAGCCTGTCCCATTTGTACCTTTTAAAATAGGGTACCTTGTTGGTTTGGCGTACAGGGGAAAATCCGCTTTGACTTAAAAAAAAATCCAGTCATTCGTCTATCTTTTTAATATGATTTTTCTGCCTCCCCCACAACGTAAAGAAATCGGCCTGAATGCAAGGAAAGTGGCGTCTAATTAGCACATTGACCGCTTCCCACTGGGAATTGGTGCCATAAAAAGGGGGAGAGTTTCGCTTTAAGGGAGAGAAAAAGAAAAACAAAAAGAAACAGAGACGCTAACGAAGCGTGAATGGTAATTGTGTAGTAATGAACTAACCGCAAAAGGCTATGGACAAGCAGCGAGAGCCATATATTACCGGGACAAAAGAGATTTACACTCAAGCTAAACACAACTGCAGGCCGAGACCATTGCGAGAGCAGTGATGGCAGAGGCTTCTCTACCCCCAATCTTTCACATTAAATGGACACGAAAAGCTATTTATAAAGCTCGGGTTGTTTTTGTTAGGCCATTGAGACGCGGGAGAAAGGAGCAAATTCCATTGTGGGCAAAAGCCTGAATGGTGGTGATGGGGAGTTTCTTCTCCCCCTTAAAAAAAAAAAAAGTCGCTATTTTCTTTGACTGTTATTGGGACTGCTGTCCTGGTCATGCCCAGCCCCCACCCACCACCATCTAGGGCTTTCGGCGTTTTAAACCGCTGTAAAGTGTTCTAGCCGGCGTTTGAACGCTGGGAAGTTGCCAGGATGAAAACTTTTGAGGGTGCTTCGCCTGTAGACCAGGACCCAGTGCCCGATTCTGCCAACTGTTCCTTCTTTCTCAAAAAAAGCCCCTGGGCAAGATATGGGGTCGGAAAACCAGGTTGGCAAGAGAAGGTTGGGGTCTCAGGAGGATCTAGGCTTCCTACCCCTGGGCGCCACCAGGCAACCCACACAAGAGGGCACCCCATGAAGTCTGGTGGTGGGGGGGAAGCCCTGAATGAGTGTTAAAGAGAAATTAGCCGCGGCTGGTAGGTGTTTCTGGGCGGCGTGGAGGGGCGAGGGCCGGTCTGCGTGTGGCTGCCTGGAGGAGCTGGCCAATTGGTCACGGTGCTGAGACCTTTGTGGCGAGTGGTGGCCAAGTGCACTGACTCTGTGGGAAACGGCGGCGTGAAGGGATGCCAACAGCTCCTCGCCGGGAAGGGAACCGCCTCAAATGCGGACCATGACAATTCTTGCTAATTTGTAGAGCAGGGAATTGGTGCGTAGTGTCAAGCAGTCACTGCTTGTGCTAAATGGGGTATCAAATTGGCGCGACGGATTCGTGAATGTTGTACGCCTCGCAACCTCTGAACCAGAGCGTAACCCAGAGGGGTGGACGGAGAAATACGACTCGGGGGCAGAGAGTGACTGGGCCGGACTGGGGTGGGCTGCCCCTCCTGGAACAAGGAATGCAAGAGACCTACCTGGGAAATAGGAGGATCTAATGAACGGTTGGAAGGAGCCTTCGAAGTAAGGAAAGGCGAACGTCTTGGGAGGGGGACTCTGCAGCAAAGCCGGCGACGTTTCTAGTAGAGAGGGATAGGGAGAATTTGGTCATGTGCCTGATCACTAGTGGCGTGTCACATACATGGATCTAATTAACACTGCAGCAAGTTTCAGGGGGCATCATTTAAAACGTATTCACCTAGTAAAATAAATTTGTGTAGCACTGTCTCATTTGGGAAAATCCCTTTTAGCCTCCCCCATCCCCCCCCGCCGCCGTCTCTCCGTGCCAGAGACTTAGGCAAATAGGACGCGGGTGGGTGGGGTGGGAAGTTGCAGATCCATCCATAATATAAACCAGCCCAATACACGAGTTTAAAGCGTGTAATGTTTTAAGCAAAATGTCTCCTAGCCGTTGAGGGCGGGAACGCAGACGCCAAAGCGCTTGCGCTCTAAGAAGCTAGACTAGGGAACAGCGCTCAACCGTCCCGCGACTCAAGTTCATTCGAAGGATGAATGCACTAAATGCTTTTCTTCCTCCTAAATCCTCAGTACCTAAATTTCATAATCCGTGACCTGGCCCCTGGGGTCTGAGTTCCTGCGTGGACCTATGCACTAACAAGCGCAGAATGAAGGGATGTCCGGCCGCTGGACGTGCGTCGAGGGCTCGGCTGTTACTTACCTCTTCTGGGAGCGGAAGAGAGGATGGCATTCACCCCAAACTTCAGAAACGTGGGCTCGCTGGCAGGGGAGAGGGCATTCTGTGGAGAGCTGCCACGCCTGCTCCCGGGCCCCGGAGAACCCAGGTCCGAGGTCCCCGAGTCGGCGAGGACTGTGGGGGCCTCCTGCCTGGGGGGTGACAGGCTGGCAGGGGGTATGCTGCGGGGCAGGTAGGTGGGTGGCCGACTGATGCGGATCAAATCTTCCACAAGGAAACTAGAGTGACCGGAAAATGCGGATTGAAGGGACTGAGGCAGTGTTAAGGTGGGCGTGGGTCGCAGGAGGCTGGGATACCCCGCGGGGGGCGCGAGGAGGCCGGGGAACATCATGGTCAGAGCGGGGCGGGTGCAGTAGCCCCTTTTCCCGTGGCCGTAGGGCAAACGCCTGCCTTCCCGCCCCTCCCGCAGTGCCCTCTTCGGATCAGTGTCCTGGTAACCGTCCTACTTGGGCGTCTGCGAGTCCTCTGCGGCTCTCCGGTCCAGGAGATGGTTTTATAGTGGCCCGCCCGCCCCAGCGCTTTAAAAACTGACAGCTCTGACAATGAAGTTCAACAAAGTTCTCCACTCGGGCTTCATTCGCGGGAGGTACTGGGCTCTCTGATTGGTGCAGAGACGCAATTTATGATTGGATTAGTCTTCATAAGCAAGGCCCGCACAATGGGGCGGCAACAAAGGCCGGCGAGCATCAACCCTGCGCATCGACGGCCTCTCTGCTATACAGTGTGCCCCCAAAGCTCTCGCTGGGGGTTTTTGTTCTGAAGCAACACCCGGGCTAATTAAATGCCTATTTAGAAGTTTCAGATGACATCTTGCCTCATAGAAAAGGAATTATTTAAAGAATGCACTAAATTTATTTGCGCCCCCCTGCTGAGCCTAGAAAATAAATCAATAAATATTCATAGAAGTACATCTCCAGGCTATCGGTAAAATAACTCTCCCTTGTGTGAGAGGGGCCGTGTGGAAAATTTCAAGCACTTAAGCATGAAAACATACTAGTCTCTGGTCTCCAGCTAGTTCTCAATCAATGGGAAAGGCAGAGCAGATGCGCGGGATGGGTTAGAAGTCCTTCTCGAACACTCAGGGAGACTTGGAAGTAGGAGTGTTACAGCAAACTACAGTCCGTCAGGGTTGGGGAGATTTGAGGGGAGTTGGTATTGGTGCTGGTTTTGTTTTGTGAGAATGGTTGAATTCCAGAGTTGATGGGCACAGAAGCAGTAAAACCAGCCTCCTTCAACTCCCAATAACCTGGGAGTGGGGGAGAGGCCGAGAGAGCAGAGACAGAGGACAGAGGCAGAGAGAGACAGAAAGATAGAGAGAAAGTGTGTGTTTCAGAGAACTTCGTTGGGACTCTGCCCAGAGGGCAGGGATGTTCCTTGGAGGAGGAGACTGGAGAGCCCTGTACCCAAGCTGAACAGGGGATTCCACCCAGGACGGGCTTACACCCTTGAAAGCGCTCTTCCTTCGGGTAGGCCAATCCTGGCAGGGCTGCCTTTTTCCAACCCTTAGGAGAGCTCACCACTCTTTGTTTAAGCCACGGCCCCTGAAAGTCTGCACAGAGCTCAGGTATTATGAGGCGCTTAACTCCTGAACATTTGTGCCGCTTTTGGATTCACTGCATTGGATTCCCTATATTGAAGAACTAGGTTCACACCGGGAAAAACCTCTCCTAAGCATAGTCTTTTCCAACCAGACTTCTGGAGAGCCTCCCTTGCCTGCCGTTCATGGGCCAAGGTTGAGGTGGCTGTGAGCCTCCACTGCCTGGTTTCTGGCTCGGCGAGATGACAGATGTGTTAAATGTCCCATTCATTTCTTTAGTGAGACTGAACCCTCCCCCAAGAGAAGTGTGCAGCCCTGCCAGGCCGCCCTGATCCTATTAGCCATGAACTAACTGTCACTTTCAGCTGGTTTTCCTTTTCGCTTTTTAACACAAAGCTTTCTCAAAAATCTTATTAACCAGCCTTATTTCTCTGGATGGTTTTGTTCAGGGCGTTTTGTGTTGATGATCGCCATGTCGCTGCTTTAACCATTCATGAATGTGCATCTGCAATTTATATCACATTAAACCAGAAACGGAGCTCACTAAAGCTCTCCCTTGATTCCAATTAAAAAGTTGTTTAGGGCCGGACTCTGGGTGAATTCATGCTCGAGGACGGTGAAACTAGAGTTTCTGAACCCAGGACTGTTCCCGTATCAGGAGGAATCAGCTCAAATAAGTGGCGCTTAAGCACACACTTGGCACTGCAGGGTCCTGTATATGCAAGGGACAGACCTGTTGAGGAATTTTGAAAGTTACTTTTTTTTCTTTTCTTTTTTTAAAGTTTTTCAACAAAACAGGCTAAGATTCCTCCTCCCCTTCTCCCCCTTTCTCCTTTCTTCATCCCAGTTTCCCTTTCCTCCCTCCCTTCTTTCTCTCTTCCCTACTACCCTTCTCCTGCAGGGTGACTATTTCACACTCCTCTCCTTACCCAACCCATCCCCCTCATCCGAGGCCAGGAGCAGCTCGGAAGTTCTGAAGACCCTTGTGACTACAGGTGCTGGCCTTCCTAAGGCCTCTCCTCCTCTTCCAATGATGGGAGTTCAGCCTCAGTTATGATAAAGCTTGAGAGGGTCCTTGGGTGGGGGACCACGGCGGATTCCACGGCAGGCGAGGGTGACCGAGGAGGGAACAAACATGCCGGGCAGACAGAGTTTAAGTGAGAAGTTTTATTAGAAAGGGGGGAAACAAAGAGAAAAGAGACAGAGAGAGGACAGAAGAGAAGAGGAAGACAGGAAAAGTCCTGTCTGGCCCAGGGAAACAGCGGAAAGAGAGAAGAAAAGAGAGCCTAAGTGGGCGGGGGGCCTGCCTTTTAAAGGGGTCCTTTGCACCTGCGTGCAGACTACGCAATCATGGAACCCTGGGCTGACCAGGGTACTGCCTGAGTGCAATCTGCCAGGTGACAGAGGCAGGCCAGCATAATCCCTGAATCCTTACAACCTCTATCTGTAGAAATTGTTAGGTTGCTGCCGGTGGGAGACAGGACCAGAGAGTAGGTCTTTCCGAGGGGCTTTCCAAGGTTACTTCCGCTGAGGTGAGGTTTTCACAGTCCTGTCAGGCTCCTAACTTCCCTCCACATCCCCAAGGAGTTTTGCTTATCCCAAATGCAGCTAAAGCTCTACATTTACGAGGGAGGCCGCTCTGACTCACTACAAGGTAGGTACACCCTGATCCACGTAGACCCCTAAGAATTCCTCTGCTGACAAAGAGAGAAACAGGATGGGGGAGGCTGGCCGCTGTTGATAGAGCAAAATTAAATCCTAAGGAAGCAAGAAATTGCACCAACAGATCTTACTTTAAAGTAATTTCTGAAAGTGCTTTTTCAGACTCGTGGCCACCAAGGGCCACGCGCATGGCGACCGCGCCTAAATCCTGTGACTAATGCCATTTGACCTGAGCGCGAGGGTTTTGTGAGTTCTGACACTCACTGTAACGTCGTTATCTTCAAGTTTATTTCACTCCAGTTCTTTATTCTGAGTTGAGATTTCTACCTGTTTCTCTTTCCAGGGAAAGAAGGTGCACACCTTTAATTCTGGCACTCGGGGTAAAGGCAGGAGGATTTCTGTGAGTTCAAGACCAGCCTAGTCTAGCTAGCGGAGACTCTTCATAGTGAGACACTGTCTCAAAAAAAAAAAAAAAAAAAAAAAAAAAAAAAAAAAAAAAGGAAACAAAAGAAAGAAGATAGGGGAGAAAGGAGCTCCGGTCAGGCCCTTCTGTGTTTGCAACGACAGGCTGCTGCAGACACAACCCCAACTCCTGGCCTGAGAAGTCGAAGCCAGAGAAGGGCTTTAGAATCTGTTCCGAGGGTCCCTTTCTGTTAAGCAAATGCCTTTGCAACCTCCCGGCTCTCTACAGGTTCTCTACAGACAGAGGGACGGGTGGGTGTACAGACGACTCCGACCTGGGGGTAACACAGACCACAGAAGCTCAGGCCACCTAGCAGGAGCTTCCCAGCTCTCGGGAAAGAAAGCAATACCACCTTCAGGATCGCAAACTGCAGTCTCCATAGGCGTTGGTCCTCGGCTCTGAAATATAGAAAAAGAGCGCTAGGTGAGCCAGGCAGTTCTCTGGGTGGGAGGCGACAGGGACTTGCAGAGGCCACCGGGCTTCTCTGGCCTGTGTGGGGCGGGTGAACGGTGAAAAGGGAGTGCTGATGGGAGTAGCTACGGAAGAGTGCTCCAGGGGAGGGCCAGAAAGCTTTAGCACAGCCCTAGCCTCTATTAAGACAACTCTAAGAGGCTCACCTTTAGAATAGGCTACAAGGAGCTACTGGCGGGCCCAGCCGTTTCTACCCCCCCCCACTCCCTCTTTTTCCTCGAAAATCCTTCTATTGTGCCAATCAAGCAGATGGTTTCTAGAAAATATAGCTTGGCCTCACTGACCGAAACTAATTTTAACTAGCTTTCCAGGCCTGCAACGTTTGTTTTGCTCTTACAAAATAGCTCCCAAAACAGCTGGCAAGGGTGAATTAAACCCATTAAAGACACGTTTATAAGAAATTATATTCACATAGATTGCCCGAACCCCCTTGTGCAGTCTAAGAGAAGGGAAGAGTGTTATTTAAATGAAAATGTCGCCAAAGGCTCCTCTCCTTCTCGTGGCCTGAAAGTCTCAAAACATTTTACTAAATAGATTAACTTGACCATTGTCTCCCATCGCATTGATCAGCTTCATTAAGTGAATAGCTGAACAAATATATTACGCATGCATGAAAAGCTCTTTTTCCCAGGCCCTTATTGTATCCTCAGCCCTGACAGGTGGTTAACTGTGTGTTGTGTTTTTTTGTGAGTTTTTTGTGTTTTCTTTTTAATTTTTTTTTAATTCAAAGAAAAAGGCTCTCTGTAGGGCAGCCCAGTGAGGTGGTACTGGCTTGGTACTCCCCCAGGTCCCACCCCTCCAGGGATGTAAAGCCTCCAAGTGCTGGACAGTGCATCAGAGCCCATTTGAAGTGATCAAAATTAAATCTTGGTGAATCAAGGCTTCAAACTCGAAGCCACCTCATCTGAGAATTAATCCGAGTGTTTCTAACACACATTCTCTCTAGTCTTAAAGATAAACTCCTTTCTCTTTTCCTTGCCTAAGTCTAGTCTTTAAATTAAAAAAAAAAAGTGTGTGTGTGTGTGTGTGTGTGTGTGTGTGCGCACCCATGGATGGAAATCAGAGAACAATGGGCAGGATTTGGTTCTCTCCTTCTACCAGGTAGGTCCTGGGAATTGAACTCAGGTTATCTAGCTTGGTAGCAAGCACCTTCACTCCCCTCTCCAGCTGTCTTACCAGCCCAGTTCCAGTCTTTTAA